TTTCCTATCTGTGCATGAGGCAGAGCAGTGCTGCCCTCTTGGGGCTGGAGAGTAACTGAGATTATTCCTGGGAGGATCTTCAAATAGTGTTGGCTTTTCAGTTTGCCATTGTGGGCTAGTTCTGGCCTTTCTGTCTCACTGAATCCCTGGAAAAAGCCATTTTTCCTCCCTCCAGAACTTTTCTATGTTTAAGAAAGACTGGCACTACTTACCAATTTTTTCTGAATTAGACCATCCCTTCCAGAAGCAGTGGGGCTCAAGAGACCCAAGAGACAAACAGATTTTCCATATCAGAGGCAGTTGAGACTTTAGAGGACCCAGGAACTGCCCACCCTAGGCTTTGAAGCAGGAAATAACTGCTGGGGGAGAAGACTGATCAGACAAGTTGTAGAGAGGAGATTCTCCCACCTCTAGGGATGAGCAGTGTTGTGCCCAGATCGTGACCCCCAGAGAGACCACCAAAGACGAGCATGCCAGAATGCAAAAGCAAGGTTTAATCCAAAAGCAATACAAGCCTAGGCAGGGACTTTGTCCAATACATCCAACACAGTGAAGGCTGGAGGAAGTGCCCACCTGTCCGCAAGCTCAGTTTTTAAAGGGAAAAATCACAAGGTTACATCGTTTAGGGGTGCTAGTATGGGTACAATTCTGATTGGCTCGCTTCTAGGGGCTTTCTAGAAATCATGGCTTAATCTTCTAAGGGAGAGGTTGCCCGCCACCATTTCTCATTGGCTGCCCTCAGGTGGGGGCATTTTTATGGTCAGTTACCCTGGAAACCAGGGAGAGGACATTCCATAGTCTGGCAGGCATTACCTCATGACTACCTTGTGACTCTGTACTTTTACACTTCCGGGTTTCTGGAATCTGAACTGACTGGTTTCAGTAACTAATGGCCTATTCCCAAAAGGAGAAATCTTAGGCCTTAATTGTAGGGTGAAAGCATTTTGGTCTTATTTCTAAGATGGCTCATTTTGGTCTCACATTTCCCCCTTCTCATGTGCCTAATGGAACCCAGTCATGGGTTTTGGGCAGTTAGCTCATAAGTATCCTTCTCTAATAATGGCCATGTATAGTTAGCCATCTCGTCTCTATGCCAGGGAGTTTCATTTTGACCCAGCATTTCAGCCTTTGAACAGGGAACATGGGACGACGTATTCTCTTCTGGAATTGCTTCAAGCTGGCATTGGGGCGCCATTGTCAGGGCCCCCAAAAGACTGAAAAGCTAGACAAAGACTGGGCAAGGGGGCATTTGTCAGAAGCATGTAGATGCCTGACCCCATAGGGACAGGGAAGAACCATGTTAGCTGGGCTGGTCCATGTCAGCTTTTAGCAAGTCTGGAGCTCACAGTCGTCTGGAGCAGTGGAGTCAGCGACTGAAACTTGGAGGTGACTGCCAGCCAAGTGGAAATCTGTTGAGACAAATGTAAACTAGGAACAGAAGTTAAAATTTATGAACTTATTTGGGACCTTTAGGTCCATACCCTTAGTAATGGGAAAAGCAGTAGTCCCAAGACCAGGAGAGAGGAAAAATACCATCTTTAGGAATACTTATCTGGGGTCCTTTTGACCTCTGTGGAGTGGGTCTAGGTTTTTATGACTCTTTTGATCCTTTGAGGCCTACTTACAAAATGACATAAAAGTTTTAGATACATTAGTATTACCAATCTGTACTGAAATCCATTTTGTAGACAAAGCAGGTAATGGTTATCTTGTAAAACAGCAGAAGTGGACTCATACCTTTGAGTCCCAACAAGAACTACAGATTTGGGTTAAAAGCTTGTGCATTTTTCTTCTGTCCAGAAAGCCAGGTATAAATTGGACAGAGATTTTTTTGACCTGATGAGAAGCACTTTTAGGTTTACATTTAAATATATTTAGATGACATCTAAAACAAATCCAAAATGTTGAGCTTGTGACTGAACAGTAAATAGTCATTGCTCTACCAGCTCATCAGGGCTCCTAAATGTTAAGCTCTGAACCATAGAACAGGAGAGTAGTTTGAAACTTATCTCATTTTAGACTCATATCTGAACCTTTATAACTTATTTAAACTTTTATATCTTAGAACATTTTCCTAAAAGTGAGCTAACAAGCTAGCTATAGCCTTGCAGAAGGATCTGGTTGTGTGATGCTGCCACGCTGACATAGTTAGAGCTAGCCTAGCCATCAGTACTATCAGAAATCTGAGAAGGATAAACTATATCTGAGTGCAGACCAAGAAGCTTCCAATCCTATAAATTACAGGGACCAATCTCCATAACATTGGAAGCACCAGTCAGAACAGCATCAATCTTCTTCCGCCATCAGGCCCATAAGACAGAGTATTTTTCCTGTGGAATAGGGACATGAAAGACTGACCTTTGACCAGGCAAAAGGGTGCAATCAATTTTAGTGTCCTACTGCTTGTCCACAGTCTGGGCTGGGTCCTGGCGGCAGGCGTTGCACTGGGGCATCTTGCCCTGTGGTCAGCGTTGTCATATTTCAGGCAGAGACTTTGTGGTGCCTCGTACAGAATCTTCTTCGGAGACCTTGGGTCACTGCTAGGATCTGGAAGCCTGTCTGATATAATAAGCTTTTAGATCAACATTTAAATGCCATATTCTGCAGATTTCTGAAGTATGAGGGTTGTCCAGGTATATCTGAATAGACAAACTTTGTTTCTAATTACTTGCTTCAAGCTTAACCCTGAAAACATATGCAAGGGACTGAGTAAATGAGTAAACTTATCTTTGTAATATTACATCAGTACTTACTTACCCTGACTACAATTAAAAAAATCCTGATTACTTATGACTGACTATTTATGTTCTCTAACAGTCTACAATAAGTAGCCTAAAAACAATTGCTTTTAAGTTGAAGCTCTTCTAGCATCAAATACAGGTTCAGTAAAGAAACCAAAACAAAATATCAATATAAAACATATATGTATCAGTTTATCCAAATAACTTAAGCTTAACAAACTTAGCAAATACAAGGAGGCTAGACAACATTCTTAAGCCTGAACGTACCTTTGGTAAGGAGAAATATTTTTTTAAGCCATTGGTTTTTAACTATAAAAACTGTTCTTAAAAGATTAAGATCTCTCAAATGCCTTCTGTAATATCAACAATAAAGTATCTTCTACTTTAAGGGGGAGAAAACATGGCATCATCACAATCTGTATACAGTAAAACCAAGCTCCAAAGTTCAAACAATCCCAAAGTTCAATATCTGGGATTTATTTATAACCCTTTTGGTTCTTTAAAATCATTATACAAAGTTTAGCTGCCAGAGCAAGGTATATTCCTGTGTATAAAAGCATTGGTGTATAGCTTTAATATTAATCAAATACCTTATTTATTAAATGTATGTTGCCATTTATTTAAATTCTCTAGAAACTTGCTGTTGAACACTTGGTAAAGACATAAGTATTAGGTGTTAACCCGAGTAGATCTTTATAACCTTAGTAAAAGATGGCTGCCAGCCACATGGCTGCCCATGAGGTCACCAGCCAAGATGGAGGGAGTCATGTGGTTGCTGTTTAAAGCTCGTTTTTTCTAAACAATAATTACTTGCATACATACACACAGTTGGATCCAAGTTACATACATACATACGTACAGTTAAAGCTTGCTTACATTTCCAAGTCACATACCTGTCCACATACACACATAAGCAGTTTACAGAATCATTAGCCATTCTTAAAATGAAAACCAACAAGAATTAACTTTTAAATTCAGTATTTGCAGGTATAAGAAACGTTAACAGTTTATATCACATCCCCTCTGACTTTCTACAACCTTCTATATGCCCTTTGATCCCTCAGACATTTACTCTAGACAAATTCCGCTTTTTCTTTCTTTTAAAACAGAAGCTCTTACCAAAGTCTTTCTTGTGATTTCCCTCAGTAATCTAGAATATATTGTAAAGTTACAATATTTTAAACAAGAACAGAAATACATGCATATATCATAACAAGAATAACTCTCAATTTGCATCAGCACTGTACCACAGACAAGAAACAGTTGGTTAGTCTCACATAGGTAGTGACATTCCATTCTTGGAGCCAGACCTTGATCAGGTATTAGCCCCAGGGCAGGTCTTGGGAGCCCCACCCAACAGCATGGAAGAGGAAGAGGACAGGGAAAGCGTGCACCATGGGGACAAAAGATTGCTATTAACCTCAGATTTTCAAGAACACGAGAATGGCAGACTGAAAGTGACTCCATGCCCTGGATGGGCCCACAGACTTGTAGGCCACTCCACAGCTATGACCCTGGAGGGGCAGTTAGTTCTCCACCAGCCCCCACACTGAGCTCCTTGAGGCTCCTGCTGGCTCCCGCCAGCTCTGCCCCTTGTCCACACAGGAGCCCAGCCAGAACCTGCCAGCCATATCTGGGCCCCACAGTGCTCATAGCCTGCCCTAGCACACAGCCATGCCTAGTTCCCATGCAGCCTCTGGGCCAATCTGGCTGCCACCTCATCGTGCTGTAAAGTCTCTACTCCAAAGCTCTCTGAGCGAGCCGGGGCCCCGAACCCGCTGCGTCTAGGCCCCTGTGATGCTCCCAGGCTGCCTAGCTCTCTCAGCGGCACCCTGGGCCCCTGAAGTTCTGCTGCCTGCACTCTGGTCAGAGAGAGAGCAAGGAAGCAATGTTAGGTTAGTCTGTGCCAGTTCAACCACCAAAGGGGTCTCCATCTCTTCGACTGGCAATCCAGCCCACAAGTCCCAATGCATACACAAGCTCAGGCATAAAACACTCACACATGTGGCCACAGTTCTCACACATTTATACATTTTATAGGTATAACAAATCACACTGACGAACAAGATAGGCAGACTTAAAGGAAGTACAAGGGCCCTACAGATGGTCCAGGCAGACGAGAGTCCAGAGAGGGAGCCTCGATTATGCCAAAGACCATACGGATGGGACAGGGACAACTCAACAGAGTCTCCTGATTCCCCAGAAAACAGACAGACCCCTCTCAGGTGTCCAAACAGACGGACCCCTCTCGGGCGTCCTATGACGGGGGACCCGTGGGGACCCCTGCGTCCTGATGAGGGGTTGGAACGTCTCCCAACTCCTCCAGGCTCACCTTACAGGCATGTCCGCCAAGGTGAGAGCCTGTCAGATTCAACTGCCGGCTTCGGATAAGAAAATGAAAGTAAAAGGAAAGCAAAGACAAGAAAATGGAGCACTCTTACCGATTGGTGCAGATGGACCTCCGGAGCTCTTAGAGGTCCCGGCGGGGGGGGGGGGGTCTCTGGGGATCCCGGATGAGCCCCCAAATGTTGTGCCCAGATCGTGACCCCCAGAGAGACCACCAAAGACGAGCATGCCGGAATGCAAAAGCAAGGTTTAATTCTGGATATCCAAAAGCAATACAAGCCTAGGCAGGGACTTCGTTCAATACATCCAACACAGTGGAGGCTGGAGGAAGTGCCCACCTATCTGCAAGTTCAGTTTTTAAAGGGAAAAATCACAAGGTTACATCGTTTAGGGGTGCTAGTACAGGTACAATTCTGATTGGCTCGCTTCTAGGGGCTTTCTAGAAATCATGGCTTAATCTTACTTCTAAGGGAGTGGTTGCCCGCCACCATTTCTCATTGGCTGCCCTCAGGTGGGGGCATTTTTATGGTCAGTTACCCTGGAAACCAGGGAGAGGACATTCCATAGTCTGGCAGGCATTACCTCATGACTACCTTGTGACTCTGTACTTTTACACTTCCGGGTTTCTGGAATCTGAACTGACTGGTTTCAGTAACTAATGGCCTATTCCCAAAAGGAGAAATCTTAGGCCTTAATTGTAGGGTGAAAGCATTTTGGTCTTATTTCTAAGATGTCTCATTTTGGTCTCACAAGTAGTACAGAGTGCCAGTGGTCCAGCTTTTGTGAGTCATCACTCATGTGGGGTGGGCTTTTTTTTTTCCTTTTTGTTTTTTTCTGAGACAGGGTTTCTCTGTGTAGTTTTGGTGCCTGTCCTGGATCTTGCTCTGTAGACCAGGCTGGCCTTGAACTCACAGAGATCCACCTGGCTCTGCCTCCCAAGTGCTGGGATTAAAGGTATGTGCAACCGCTGCCCGGCTGTTGGGTGGACTCTTGGTGATGCTGTTGCCTTTGAGCGGCTCATACTGCTGGAAGTAACCCCTCAACTACAGTACTGGAAGTAACCCCACATCCATAATCCTGGAAGTAACCCCTCATCCATAGTCCTGGAAGTAACCCTCATCCATAATCCTGGAAGTAACCCTCATCCAGTCCTGGAAGTAACCCCTCATCAATAGTACTGGAAGTAACCCCTCATCCATAGTCCTGGAAGTAACCCTCATCCAGTCCTGAAAGTAACCCCTCATCAATAGTCCTGGAAGTAACCCTCATCCATAGTCCTGGAGGTAACCCCTCATCCATACTCTTGGAAGTAACCCCTCATCAATAGTCCTGGAAGTAATCACTCATCCATAATCCTGGAAGTAACCCTCATCAATAGTCCTGGAAGTAATCACTCATCCATAGTCCTGGAAGTAACCCTCATCCAGTCCTGGAAGTAACCCCTCATCAATAGTCCTGGAAGTAACCCTCATCCAGTCCTGGAAGTAACCCTCATCCATAGTCCTGGAAGTAACCCTCATCCAGTCCTGGAAGTAACCCCTCATCCATAGTCCTGGAAGTAACCCCTAATCCATAGTCCTGGAAGTCACCCCAATAAACTCACTGGTTCATCAGTTAGGACTCTGTTGATATTGATCCCTATCTAAGGTAAGTAGATATTACCTCTCTCCAGCAATAGTGTCACACAACACTGGCATGGACTTCTGTACAATGTAATATGCTGGAGTGCATTGTGTCATCATACAGACCTGCAGGAGGTAGGCCTCCACTCCAGCCTTGCTTGGCATGGCCCATGTGGTAGGTAGAATCCTCTGTGCTGTGGCAGGTTGCCCCGCCTGCAGGGCTACAACAGGTTCTCGACCACCCTAAGGACGGAATGATAGGGACAGGAGATACAAGGAAATGCACCAAGTCTAGATTCTGATCAAGGTGCCACTTTATTTTTCTCCAAGAGGGTTTATATAGTTCCTGCAGGGTGGCGGAAGCAAGAAGCTGTCTGCATAAGGTGGGGCAAGCTAACAGGATGTTTGTATAGGATGTTTACAGGGTGAAAGGGTCAAGGGCTCTGCCTCAATGTCCTGTTGCTAGGCAACCTGACTGTAAGATGATCTAGTTCCCTGTCTTATGGGGGTCTGTATTTTTCCACTAACTAGAGATTCTGTCCTTGTCCCTGACAGCAGGTGGTCCTGGATGCCATAAAGAAAACAGGGTGAGCAACTCACAGTGAGCAAGCCAGTAAGCAGCGCTCCTCCAAGGCCTCTGTTACAGCGCCTGCCTCCTTGAGTTCCTGCCCTGAGTTCCCTGGATGATTGACTGTAAGGTATATGATGAAATAAACCCTTTCCTCCCCAGATTGCTTCAGGATATGGTGTTTATCACAGCAACAGAAACACTAACTAAGACACCTTGAAAATCTTGTGATCAGTTCTGGCTATGCCAATTTTGTAATGGAAAGGTCTTTCTGAAATAATAGAATGGTTAGAAAGTGTCTGGATTATGAAAATAAAGAGCAGGCACTGGGGAGTCGTTCCACAGTAGAGCATGTGCGTAGCATGTCTAAGGTCCCAGGTTCAACTCCTAATCACAAAGTCAGTCAACAAAAATAGAAATCAAAATGCTATTTCGTAAGTTTAGGAGTTAGGATATAGACAATAATCTGGACTGTTCCTGTTTAGTTTTCTGTGATAAAACACTGACCAGAAGTAATTTAGGGAGGAAAATTCTCATTTGGCTTACAAGTTACAGTCTATCAATGAGGGAGGTCAGGGCAGGAGAAGCAGAGAGACCATGGAGGAACACTGCTTACTGGCTTACTCAGCTACCTTCCTTACACAGTTCAAGTCTACTTGTGTGTATGTGTACATGTGTGTGTACCAGGCACCTACCTGGGCTGGGCCCTCCTGCACCAATCAGCAGTTCATAAAATGTCCCCAAATACATGGTCATAGGCCAACGTGAGTAATTCTTCTGTTGAGGTTCCCTGTTCCCACATGACTCTAGGTTTGTGTCATGATGACAGCTGAAGCCATGACATACCTCAGTAAAACACTCTCTCTTACTCCCAAGCTGCCTCCTGTATACATTACACCTTTCAACAGCCATCAGAATTCTTGTTTCTTCCACGTAATAAGTTGGGTTATGAGAGGCACAAAAATACAGAGAGTGAGCACTGACCTGCCATGACAAGAATCCCAAGACTGCTTGCTGCCTATGTAGCTCTGGGCTCCTTACCTCTCTAAACCACACTGTCTTCATCTTTGAGATGAAGTACTAACATGTATATCCAGTTGCTGAATAGTGTATAGTTACTGAATGGGTTAGAAGAAGACTAACTACTGGGTTCCATGTTTGGGAGATGGTAAGTCCTCAAAATGATGCTTAGTACTAAAAATAATGTTGCTTTGACCAAACAAATTGCAGATGGTTCCGTAACTTGTAACCATTTTTCACCTCCTGAAAACCCTCAGCCAGTCCGTGAAGATCCGGGATGACTGTCAAGCATTCACTGAGCAGGGCCTGCGTGCAGGCGCATGGGAAGATGGGCAGGAGGATGGACTCCTGCCTTGCTTGGCTCCGAACTGGAGCAGTGAACTAAGCTGACACAGGTAACAACTGACAGGCACATGCTCCCTCCCTGATAACAGTTGCCTAGCAACAATTTGGAGCCATAACAGAGTGACCAGGAACACAGAGCTTAATTCTTTCAAGCAGAATTTCTTCTTGTTAAACTTTATTTTACTTACAATAGGGGGCATGGGACGTCCTGCGTGTCACAGTGTATGTGTGGAGGTCAAAGGACAACTTTGGGAGTTAATCCCCTCCTCCCGTGTGGTTTCCTGGAATTGAACTTGGAGGGTCAGGCTTGCACGTTTACCTGCTGGGCCATCTCACTGGCCCTCAAACAGAATTTCTTGCAAGTACATAGTGACTTCCAGGCCAGACTGAGCTACTAGACCCTGTCTCCAAAAACAAGGGCTGGGGACAGGCTTCAGTGGTCCAACATTTGTCTGACGTGCTTAAGGACCTAGGTCTGGAAGAATAACGACAACAAAAGTCTGTCTTAGTCAGAGTCAATGCAAACGTGAAGGCAGAGTGACACACTGGTCTGGGGTTGTTCTCGAGCTGGAGAGATGGATGGGTCCCAGTTCAGTGTTTGCTTCGCTAGCGTGAGGACCTCATTTCGGACCCCTAGCAGCCCTTCACTTGCCGCAGTGTCTGGGACACTCTATTGGTGTTACACTTAATGCAGAGAACCAGGCAAAGCGGAACATACCCATAATTCCTGCAGTGAGGAGGGAGACATGGAGGGATCCCTGCATCTCACCTTACCAACTAGTCTAGTCCAACTGGTGAGCTCCAGGTTCAGTGAGAGACTCTGTGTCAAGACATAAGTGGAGAGCAGCTGAGGAAGACGCTGCACTACGTGGGCTAGTTTTGTATATTTATACTTGACACAGCCTAGGGTCATTTTGGAAGAGGAAACCTCAATTACGAAAATGCCCCCTCCCTCCAGACTGACCTGTGGGCCAAGTCTGTGTGGCATTTTCTTGATTGTTGATTGCTGTGGGTGTGTCCACCCCACAAGGGTGGTGGCACCTCCTGGCTGGTGGTCCTGGCTGGTATAATAAAGCAGAATAAGCAAGCCATAAGGAGCAAGTCAGTAAGCAGCACTCCTCTGTGGCCTCTGCATCAGCTCCCAGGTTCTTCCAGGAGTTCCTGTCCTGACTTCCCTGGACGATGGACTATCTATAAGCTATGAGCTGAAACAAACCCTTTCCTCCCCAAGTTGCTGCTGGTCCTGGTGTTTAATCACAGGAACAGAAAAGTAACTAAGACAACACCAAAGACGAACCTCTGACCTCTGTCTCCACATGCACAAAGCGCCTGTACACTCTCCCCTTCCCACCACATAGGTGCGCACGCACAAGTATACAAAACCACAAAGTTTTCTTGAGCACTAAATGTAACACAAATAGAGTGCCTCAGACACCAAAGCAGGTGAATGCT